CAGGGAAAATTCCCTGTCTATATTGAATATATACATTCCCCACCCCTGTCTGTATTGAATATATACATTTAAATAGATACTTTCTTTACAATTTAATAACAATACGTCCTTTTGTAAACTGCATTTACTTTAAAATAGATCTGGAATAATGTCTCATACTTGTATTATAAGTCTTTACTATAAAATTATATAACTAGTCTTCGGACTATGATCAAATCACTTGTGTTTCGGCTTTACCTTTCCAGCATCAGGGAAAATTTTAATAACAAATACCATAAATGTGTATATGCCAATAAGGACTTAATTTAGTTCAGTTACTTAAATATTCAATATTTTGCTACGGAAGGTTTTATAAGTAAATGGGAGCAGACCACCAATAATCGATAATAAAACAAAGTTCTCAAATATCGTTCAAAGATCTAACAGAAGGCAATTACTGCTAAGCTTTTTATTTTATATATATTAAAAAATATATCTCAAAAAGCAAAGGCAAGGAAATCTTTTTATTGCTTCATGAGAACTTGCACTGGCAAAAGAGCAAACGTAAAAATAAAATACATACAATGACAAATATATAAGCACACTTGCAGAATAGAGTTCAATAATGGGTCTAAGACAGTTGAAAAACGTTTAACGCACTTATTGCAGCACAAAAAATACTAAATACTTCTTTAACGATTGTTATATTGTAACCTTATTGCAAATTTGTAGTTTTAATTTATTGAAAAAAAGTATTTGATCAAAAAGTTAAATAAATCAACATGTGTAGACTTATCTGCAACGAGCATAGATAACAACATCAACACAATAACATAAACCATAACAAAAGCAACCCTTAGGATGTGTGTGTTCACATTGCCTAATTAATGGATCCTACGGAATTTACACAATATGCCGTTCACCATGCAACTATGTTACAAGGGCTTTTGTCATGTTGCAGCGGGTGATTAATGATCCAAAAGGTGTCATATATGGTTTTATAATAAAATTTTAAATAATTTTTAAAAATTTATTTTCTAAGAAAATTAATAAAAATACCTCTTTCATATAGAAACAGTTAGATTATTATCTCGTGCTATCAGCCCTACAAGCAAAATTTTAAAAACATTAAAAAATACAAATATGAAAATGTAACTTGTTTCATATTCATATTCTAATAGATTCTAAACTCATATTCTAATAGATTCTAAACTCCTATTCTAATAGACTCTAAACTCCTATTCTAATGAATTTCAAAATCATATTCAAATAGATTCTAAACTTCTATTCTAATAGATTCTAAACTCCTATTCTAATGGATTTTTAACTCCTATTCTAATAGATTCTAAACTTCTATTCTAATGGATTTTAAACTCCTATTCTGATAGATTCTAAACTCCTATTCTAATAGATTTTAAACTCATATTCTAATGGATTCTAAACTCCTATTCTGATAGATATTCTAATAAATTTTAAACTCCTATTATTATTCAAATTGCAATTAGTTATATTGTGATAATTATTTTTACAACTGTTACATCTATTTTGTTTATTATTGTAATCATTATTTTATTTCAAGAAAATAAAGTATTAAAACAAAAGAATACTTATTCTTTACTTGGGTAATTATGTAGAATACTACAATATTAATAACAACTACAAACTGTACATAACTAAACAATCTTGACACGACCATTCAAGATTCTCATTTTTTAAAACATTTTCTAGTAGGCCTTGACAAATACCATGGAACCAATCTTCACAGTTGTTGCACTGTACTATATCCCTAAAACTATAAATATCAGTTTTCTATTAAAAATTATTACTTCATATTTGAAATCAATCTTAATAAATTTTAACTCCATAACCATTTTATTATTAATAGTTAGTTCATAAGGAGGCAGTAATTTTTAAAAATAAATTATTTAATACATGAGATTTAAATGACTGATTAAAAAAACTTTAATTTAATTACCAAGTGACTTACCTATTTTTCTCAAATTTGTTTAAAGGCATCCACAACTGCCTACAAGTACAATGTAAAGAAAATACTTTTTCCTTGCAAAATTTTACTGATTTTTTAGTCTTGGGAAAATCATTCAAATTATTTTCTGTAATGCTTTGAAGTAAATGCTTTCTCATCATATGTGAATCAAAAGCAACAAAAGAAGGATTTGAGCTAGTGTAGGCAATGTGTTGTGCAAATGCTAATGCGAATAAACCACAATCGACACCATTTGTTTGTTGCTGCACTGGCAAAACACGTACTGTTAAAATATCTTTGGAACAGTTCATAATCGAACAAATTTGTCTGATTACATGCTTTTTTATGTTTCCATGAAACATACTATCTAAAACGCATACCTCATCTTTAGCACATCCAAAAGTACTGATTGTCACCCAGTGTATAGCACCATCATGCAAAACTTGTATAAATGATTCATTAACAACTTTAAATGAGTAGTTTTGTCCCAGAACTGGATCTTGTAACCCACAGACGTTTCTTATCATTTTTTGAACTGTGTGAATCACATTGTCTGATAACATGTGATTGGCTGAAATATCTTGCAAATCAGCTGCAGAAAGCTTAGATGTTAATAAGATGTCACAATTTTGTGTGAAAATTTGACCCTCATTACCAAATGAAAAATCAGCTGGATATACAGTGCTAGATAAAAAATAAAACTTAAAAAACTTTAAAAATACAATTAATGCAAATCCAAATTATGGATGCAAGACTTGTAAGTTAAAATTTTATTATGAAAAAATAGGAAACTCATCAAGTAAGAAGTATTTAAGAGCACATCATTGAACAGCCTTTTTACATAAAACTTAATTACCTCTGATTGGATTTTAAAGTCATAGACTTCTTATTTAAACAGCTTTTACAAAACCAAATTTTGCTTTTCAGTGCAGCCTTTAAACCGACACACTTTCTGTCAAACCAATTTAGACAATGATCACAACATATCACAAAAGTGTCACAGAGTTCGTTGTCACAAGCTTGGCACAGCCAAAGGTTCCTGTGCTTGATTATTTCAAGCTTACTAGTCAGATATGACCAAGAAACCAAGGAAAAATACTTTCTTACTCTTTTTATTTCAACTGGCTCATATGTCACTTTTGTAGGTATGTTCAGCCATGGTAGAATATCAACAATCTCAGCAAGCTGTGTCCCACTAAGGACTGATACAATGATACTTGGTTTTACTAACCACCCAAGCAGCACTGAAACAGAATTTAAAAAATTATAAAAGCATTATATAAATAAGTATAAAACATATTTTGTTTATATACAATAATGGAAAACTTTAAAGATTACAATATTTATGATTAAATCTTATAATTCATTATAGGATAATTTATTTTATCATTATATGTTTTTATTAATACTTGTATCCTTATCTGTTGGGGACATCTTTAAAAAAGACAACAACTTAAAAGTGGCTGTTCTTTTCCTTTTGGGTAATCCAATAACTGTTATTTCAGACCCTTTTGGTCGTCCACGCCTGGGTATATGTGATGGCATCTTGATAAGGTTGGGATCTAGCAGAAGTAAAAATTTCTTAAAAAATGAGCAATTATAAATTTTAATAATGTAATAAGAAAAAATACTCACCTAGTATAGATTTATCAAATGACTGTGAGTTAGCTACAGTGTTATTTAATAATGGAGTTTGTAAATGTGAATGAGCAAGCAAATTGCTTTTTGACTCATTGGCTGCTAGGCTAACATTTACATTTTGGCTCACAGGTGGAGATAGTGTATGAGGCTGAACCAAGTAATCGGAGATTAACTCCTCGCTAGAAACTATTGGGTTTTGAAGGACATCAGCCTCGCCAAAATCTAACACCTGATCATTTAATTTTTTATCCAAAAAACACTGCAGGGAAGTTTCAAATTCTAACATTTTCAAAAGCCAAATATCAAATTGTTTTCCTTGTGTTTCACTGACCAATGCTGCAATTCTCTGAGATATCAAGAATGCTTTTCTATATTTTGCCTGTTGTGACAGAGGCTTTCTAGAATCTTGCTGAATAGATGAAACACTAATAAAATTTGATTGCAGAATCTCAGCAGACTCTGTTAAATTCTGTGTCATTTGAAAAAAATCTCATCTCCACCTTTTTAAAACAAGACACTCATCAAATAAACTCTCTCTACTATTTAATCTAAATCTAAAAATGTGTTTGCATGGCAGACCCATTGAAGTAGCAAAACCACAGTTGCATGAAATATTGGTAGTTTCCTGCTGAATTAAATCAGATTCCTCTGCAGCTAATAACTGTGCATTTATGTGAATCATGGCAAAAGGTGTAACTAAAGTGGCATACTCTCTTTGTGTACTGGACATCAAACTAGTGGATGATTTATGAAAAACCGATATGGCTCTATGTCTGCGCTCATTTTCTAATACTCTTATAGTAACAATCAAATCCGAAAAAAATGTGACCATCCCAGAGTTTTTGGATATGACACTTTTTAACTTCTGGTTGATATTTTCAACACGGTTTGTTGTGCTGTTCATTAGGTTCAACTTTTTTTTTTTTAAACCTTCAACCCACTGCATTCTTATACCATGCCAATTTATATTAAAATAGTCGATGACAGACTCCAATTTAAGAGCCTTAAGGCTATCATAATGCATATTATAGGTAACCTCACTATCAGAGTAAACTAATTGTTGCAGAATTTCTAAGACAAGAAGTCTCTGCTCTGCCTTTATACACATTTTTTCAACAGTTATTTCCCTGCGAAATGTGCGTAAGGTATGAAAAAGACATATTTGAAGAGAAGCGTTTGGAATTTTTTCACTAATCACGTCTCTCTCAACCATGTCTTTGTCTGTCACAACAACTTGAACACCACTGGTATTGTTATGTTTTTTAAATATATTTGTTAATTCAGCTATGGTTACTCTCTCCTCATTAGCAACAATCCAGAGAGCAACAACTATTCCTTCACCATTTCCATCGACACACATTAAAACATATAGAGGCATACGCAAGTTGTTAAGCTTATATGTGGCATCAAGGAGAAGCAGTTCAGGATAGTGTGCAAACAACTTCATCATCTTGTTTTCCTGATAATACAATGCCTGAAGTTGATTGGCATTATTCACAACAACCTCTGTCACAGAATCCTTCTGTTTAAGCATTTCACTTAACAGAGTTGTTAAATTGTTATTATCCTGATTTCGAAGAGCTTGATTTATATTTTGAACGTCCTTAAGCGTAATAACTTTCCCAGTAGATTTCATCATATGCTGCTGTATCAACTTTTTGTTAGCTTTTACAGCAAGCATATGATTTATTTCATCTTTTTCATCTCTGTCTAAGTGACGCTGATGTGGGAGGTGCATAAATGATTCCTGGAACAAAATTATTTAAAATTATTTCATAATACATTTTATCACTATTTTATTAAATTATTACAATTAAATTACTTCTGTGATAAAATGAGAGTGTTCTTCGATCATTTTAACAATTTGAAGTTTCTTCCCATCATCACTGAGTTGAAATTTAATGCATGCTTTGCAATTTTGTCGGAAGGTCCTGGAAAATTAAATAGATTTTTGTATTGATTAATTTTCAAAAACTCAAGGATCCATAAAAATCATTCTTCTCTGTTTAGCAAGCGCTTACACAATCTTTCAGTTTTGCGCTCGCCCACACACCCGCCAATACCTTAGTCAGCGCTAAATAATTCTAAATTAAAAAAAAACGCCAATAATTTTCATTGGTGATTTTATATAAAATATATATATATATATATATATATATATATATATATATATATATATATATATATATATATATATATATATATATATATATATAGTGAAATCGTGATATCTCAAACCCCGGATAACTCAAATATTTGCCAAGTCAAACTATTTGATCTGTCCCCATAGCTAATATTATGCCTACAACTCGAACTTTAGAGGAAAAATAACAAGAAAACCTTATTTAAAGCATAGTCACAAAAATAAATAGTCTGGAAACAAACAAGAGCACTTTGTTTATGTTATTGTTCAAAAAAATACTCGTTCTCAATCTTCCGAAGGTGCACATTAAATAAAGTAAACAACAAAATCTCATAATGAAAGTACTTATCTTTTTATTTTCAAGTTACTTAAAAGTATATAAAGTATAAATTTACAAACTATATTCAAGTTTTTGTAATTTATTTTAGTGAATTTAGTCAAATATGTTTTAATAATATTAATTGATTAAGCTTTTGATTATTTTTCCTAATATTTTAACTATAATATATATATATAATATAACTATATATATATATAAATATATATATATATATATATATATATATATATATATATATATATACATATATATATATATATATATATATATATATATATATATATATATATATATATATTTTGTAAATGCAATGCATTTTAGTGAAGCTGCACCGAGCAGTGTACGCCTTAGAGATGAATAATAAGTTAAAAAGAGTTTAGCAGAGTGAGATAAAAGTACAAAAGGACAGATGTCCAGTGGAAAACACAGAGCCTCAAAGTGGAAAAATATTAAAAACTGATAAGTAAAGTGTAGTAAAAAATTAAATAGAATAATAAACAACAGTCAAGGAAAGTCATTAGTTGTTGTGCTACTAAATTATTGATAGTGTCTAGCGTAAATGTGACATGTAGGTAGAACTGGTAATGGAGTAGAATTATTCGTTTTATAAGTAGTCACAATGTGGTATGTATTATTAGGATGATAAACATACATTAAAGATATAAGCGTCATGAACGTCTTGAGTACAGTATGGATTCGTGCCTTATGGTGCAGTGTGAACACATGAAGACCTCCAGCTTTCATCCGAGACTGGTATCCCAAAAGAAGTTCCACTCTGGGTCTACACCAGGGTATCTTTTTAGGTATCCCATTGTGTTATCCCAAAAGGACTATTCTCAGAGTATCCAGTCAGGACGATTGCCACAGACTCCTGGATTGACACTGGGACCAGAGGACACTTAGTTGGGTTCAGTACAACTTGCAAACAGTAGTAAGTAGTTTTTTGACATGAGTGTCGATTAAGTGCAGTGGTTTCACAGAGTCAATGAGAGTTGTGAACTGTTTTGATTTCTTATAACTATGTGTGTAATGTAAGTAGCCAATGTAGCGTACATATATGTGATTACTTTTGTAGCATGTCTTGATAGTGAGAGTTATCAGTATAAAAATAGTTGAAAGTCTTTTTAATTGGTGTTACCTAAGGTAGACATGAGTACTATAAGTCTAATAAGCGTGTATCATTAAAAAATAGCATAAATAAATAACAAACTATTACATCTTGATAAACTAGAAATGTTAAACAGAGCTATATCAATAGAGCACCATTGACTAGTATATGTGTATTGCAGCTAATAATCTGTATATATATTTTCATGTAATCATGTAGTTTGACAGTTTAATGTGAGTGTTACATAAGTGTAATTTGTATTTTTTATAAGTGACAAGTTTAACTGTGCATGCCACGTGACTGTAATGTAGTCAGGAGTATCTGGGGTCGAGTGGAATTATTCGTTTTCAAAACAGTTAGCAGGTGAACTCTGAGAACGAGTATTTTTTTGAACAATAACATAATTTAATATTATATATATATATACATATATATATATATATATATATATATATATATATATATATATATATATATATATATATATATATATATATATATATATATATATATATATATATATATATATATATATATATATATATATATATATATATATATATATAATATTAAATCTCTTAGAAAAGCTAAAAATAAAGTCCAGGATAATTATACTGAACTGTCTGGCTCTACTCACTTGTCAACTCACAAAATGAAATTGTAACAATTATTTGATTGGATGAGCATAGAAATTTACATTTTTGTATATAATATCTCATTCATAAACTGGAAATAAACTATTCAAGTCCTTAGATGTGAAGAATTATGAAGCATATCTACACAGTAAAACACTATAAAAGCTAGTTATTACACTATAAAAGCTAGTTATTTTTTACAAAATTTACCAATCCAATAGAGCAGCACAGAAGTTGTTATTTTTCAGTGGTTGAAGATTATTATAAGAAATAGCTTACAAGCTCAGTAAATTTGACTGAAAAAACTTGATGCTATTTTGAAAAAAATTGTTATTACTTAAACGTATATACTTTTTAAGTATATACTTAATAGATTGGTTATTCACATATCATCCACATAAAAGAAATTACAGAAATACATCATGAATATGAGGACATAGCAAAAAGATTCAACTTAAGTGGAATCAATGTTTTTAAAGAAACAAATTTGATAAATATAAGGCTGTAAAAGCCTAACATACATATATGTTAGGTTCCGGTATATAATTAACACAGCACATTTATACTATTATTATTTTGATTTACCTTCTATTAACGTTTTTGCAGCTACTATTAATTTGCTAAATAAATATGTTATGATAAATATACAATTTTACTTTTACTTTGCTTATATGGTGGTTATTATGCACAAGGTAACTCACATATGATAGATATTCTGATAAAAATACCCATTAAAATGAGTGATAGGTTACAAGAAATAGTAATTAAACCCATAATACTTTGAATAGTTTTTGATATAATAAACTATTAATAATAAATGCAAATGTTAATATAGATAAAAAATATAGAGCAAGATTAATTAATTCATAAATTAATAAATTTATTATTTTTCAGGATTTCTTAAAAAAAAAAAAATTTATTGAAAAGTGATTTTTAAATGATTTTAACAATAGCAACATGATTTTAAAAGTATTAATTTTTAATTAAACAAATTATATTGACAATAAAATGAAATTTTAAAAATTTAAAATTTTAAAATGATGATAATCCAGAATGGCTAAATTTTGAAAAGCTTAAGTTCAAATCACTTGTATTTTCTCATTATTACTTTTCTCATTATTTTATACTTATACTTATACGTATACTTTTTATATTATTCACATATTACTCATAAAATAATAATTATATAATTACCAGCCAATTACAAAAAATAATTCTCAATAGTATCCAGAAAGATATAGACAATAATATCTTTACAAAGTTTTTAAATTTATGTGTCAATGAACAAAAGAGCAATAAACACATTCATTGTTTTTTGATCTATTGACACAACCAAATTTATAAGAAAGCAACTAGAACAGCAACCTGAAAAATAAAATTTAAATATATATAAATAATAAGTAATCTCTTTTTAACATATCGGAGAAATTATTTATATAACAATTATTTAAAATATATCCACATTAAATCTCAAAACCAATTTTCAGTTAAGAACCATAATGAAAATAACATTATATAAAGCGTTGTTTATCTTTCTGTGCACCATCATCGTTGATACGAGTTTCAACTTAAAACGGTAAAACATTGAAAACGGCCTTTGTTTTCAGACTATTTATTCTTGTGACTATATTTAAAGTTATTAACTTTTTAACAACTTATATATTTTCAATTTTTATTTCATTTTTTCAAGTTTATTTCAATATATTTACTAACTTTTACATTACGCTCAAATCCATTAATAATATGATGACCACATTCTTCAGCATTAATGTTGACCAATTTTGCACTTTTAAGCATTTTATAATTGCCCACTCTTTACTTTACATAACATTTGCATATTTATCATATCTTTATAGTCTAAAACCATTAAGGTTCAGCTAAGGCCTATGGGTTTACCTATGGGTACAGCTAAGGCTATGGGGTATGGGTACAGCTAAGGCCAATAGGTTTACCTAGGGTCTCAGCTTTAATTTTATCTTTGCAATAATGTAATCTCTGTCTTAATTATAATTTGCCTCTGAAATCAAACATAACTCATTTATGAAAAATTAAAAAAAAAAGAAATTGATATTTGATCAATTGAGTTTATTCCTTTGTGCAAAGGAATGAACTATAATCAATACCAAGCTTGACTGAAAATAATTTATAAAGTTAATTAAGTGTTTAGTTTAACTAAATTGAATAAATTATTTACAATAAAGCTTGGTATTGATTAGAGTTTAAATTTTATCTGTGAATTTTATCACTAATATTAACTTAAGATAATTATAAAAGCAAAAACTATAACAAATGAAATTTGCATCTTAATACATAAAAATAGATATATAATTAAATAAACTAAGTATACTTTTGCTTTAGTCTTGTAACAGCGGTGGATTTAAACTTCTTCCCACCGTGGATGCAGTGGAAGTCTATTTCTCCATACTTAAGACATTCAGGAATGTCTAGATTTTTCTTTGAAGGAAAATGTTTTTTAAAACTGCATATAGTTCTACTATTTCTTTTATAAAATTGGATGTGATGTTTTTTCATGTATTTTTCCAAAGTTTCCTGAATTTCTTTAAGTGAATTAAATTGGCCACCTACATGAAATTCCGATGCCATTTTTAGAATTACTAACACGACGTATAAATTACACAAACTACACTTTTTACGGCAATCACGTGGTAGATCGCCGGACAAATAGTGCTAAAGATATTCGTCCGGTCGCCGGACGTCCAGACACTTCGTTGTTTTATATAAGGAATTAAATTCTTTTCAAAAAATTTTATATTCCCACTTAGTTATTAAAATACAGACAAGTTAATAACTTAGACCACCGACAGAGTTATTAACCAGACCACGTATTTATTAAGATGCAAACAAGATATTAAGTTAATATATTGTTTTAACAAATAAAATTCTCATTTTTTAACAACATAACTCGCAATAGTCCGCAATATATACGAATGAAATTATACACATAGAAAAATTTAAACCAAAGTAAACATCCAAAATGCTAAAAGGGCAATACTTGTCGAGTTATTATCACCAGAACTAAGAATTCCGGTACTTTCTGCAGCAAAAAAATTAAAAAGGAAACAAAGTTTTTCTTAATGTATTCATTAATCCGGATATGACTCAAACACAAGCCAAATTAGATTATGATTTGTGTAGGGAAAGAAATAAACTAAATGACAATCTTTCAGAAGAATCTCCCTTTCGATATGGTATCAGGAGCAACCCAATACAAAAAAATCCAAAAACAATGAAATTAGTAATCTCGAAAAGTCAGCCAAAAATTTAAAAAAAGACCATTATTATTATAGTTACATTAAAAATTGATAAACATGTCTTTACAAAATACAAATTATTCTCAATGAAAAATTGCACAAACCGCAAAGGTTTCTTACCAAACCAAAATTTAGCTATTATGCGTTCAATTAAACAAATTAGCAATTTGCATCAAAAGAATAAATGCTCTGGTATCCTGCTATGTCGAGATTTTAATTATCCGTCAATTAGTTAGTATGAAAGTTACAATTTACTTCAATATGATCACGATTTTTTTTTTTTTTGTATGTATTTAGGTGCTCCCAGAAGTCCTTACGGTCTTATCATAGAACCTCGTACCTCTGGGTTCTGAGCCAGAACTCTAACCGCTGCGCCACGGCTGCTCACGGATATTCAAGCAAAAGAGTTCATAAATTGTCTAAGTGATTGTTTTTTGTTCTAAAATGTTACTTATCTAACATTCCAAGTAAAAATTGATTTTACTACCCAGTGGGCACACGACGTTATTTCGACGTTGATTTACAGTTGATTTTTAGTCGCGACGTCGTATAACCAAAAATCAACGTTGTATCAACGTTGAAAAATTTGTTTAAAACTATCAAATAAAATCGACCTTGATTCCACGTTAATTCAACGTCTATATTACGTTCGTAATTGCAATATGAGAACTAAAATACGCATGCGTGACTTAAAATTTTTTAATCAACATAACAAATAAAAAGTAAAGACTTAACAAGTTACTTATTAGCCCAATAAAAACAAGTAAAGTCACACATGCTAATAAATTAGGTCATCTGTTGCCTTTTTATAAGGTTTTGAATTTGACAATTTAACAATAATACATGGCTTAACTTGTGATGCAGTTAGTTAGGTAAATATTAAATGGATATTTCTTTATGACCGTATTATTTCATGAGTGTGGATTACAAGTAGAGACTACTTGATTTATTATATAAATATAAAATATATATTATATATGTTTTTCTTATTTATATAATATATATATATTTATATATATGTATATATATATATATATATATATATACATATATATATGTATATATATATATGTATATATATATATATATATATATATACATATGTATAATATGCATATATAATATATACATGCACTATATATGTATATATACATACATAATATAAATATATATAATGGATGATGTTTTACAAAATAATGATTTATCAAGCTTTTTTACCAATCCATGTGATTTAAAGAGTTTGAATATTTTTTGTATTAAAAAATTTTTATTAAATTTTTCAAAGATTTTTCTTGTAAAGTTGTATAAAAAAGAATTTGTGCATGCTCCTTTAGTCCATGATATTGGTTGGTAGAAGTATCAACTTAAAAATTTCGCAAATTTTAGCAACTGTATAATGTATCATAACGTACAGTTTAAAGTTGTATTTTTCTGTTAGCTATTTTACATGAACAAATTTTTAATATATAAGTATTTTTTCTATTATATTTTCTACTATACTTTTCCAGTTGAAAAAGTATAGTAGGGCATGCAAAATGTTCATTGGAGCTGTTTGGATAGAAAATACAGAGAAATAAAGAGAGAAAATTCGATTGATAATTTTTTGTGCTGGCCATCATCATTAAATGTAATAAATTATTTCAATGAAATGCATAAACTGCATCTAACTAATACAGATTTATGCTGCTCAAAATTAAATGTCATGGAGATAATGTAATTTTTTTTTATATAAACCTTAAGTCATTACTTTTTTTCCTTGTTTTTTTAACATGCTTTCATTCTGTATATGTTGTTTTCAGTGTTTAGATATATTTTTTATTATATATTCTTTATTATATAATGTATTTAAAACATTTTTAAATTGAATGAATATTCTTAGATCATGAGTTATGTAATAAATTTGAGTTTGCCTCTACTAGTGATACTCAGATAGAATCAGGTTCAGAAAACGGTAACTATTTCAAAAGATACTTAATTCAAGTATTATTAGTTATATTTTGATATTAATTTTTATAGGAGCCACTACCATGCTTATGCAAGAGAAAACATAATAACCAACAGAGTAGTAAGCAAATACCTACTCCTGTAACGCAAAAAAAGAAACAGAAAACAATTTTTATGTATACTCCACATACTGTAGCTGAAGGTATTAATTGTCTGTCTGTAAGTTGATTTAAGAAGAAAAGATCCTGAACATTTTTTTCTATGCTTCAGTGATTTACACATTTCTTTGGTTGCTAAGTTAATACATTTTATTTAATTTATGAATAATGTTTTATTTTATTAATTTTTTGTTCTTGTGTTTCAATGCTCTTAGAAATTAATTAATGTTTGGTTCTTTTGTCTTTCTGATATATCTTTATTGTTAGAAAGAGATGTTAGTAAAAACTCTTTCCAGTAATTAAAGTAATATCATGACAAATAGTTCTGAAATTCTATGGATGAACTTGCAGCAGTAATTTAATGATTATGATAACAGTTTAAATGATTCTTGGGTGAGGTCAGAAGTGATGGGTTGTTTCAAACCATGACTTTTTGCAGTTTTTTTTATTGTTTTTTGATAAAGTATTTATTAATAACTTAGCCTAAGTTAATCTACTTGTAACGTTTTATAAATGCACTATAAAAATAATGTAGTGTAATTATTTTCTTAAACCTTTAGGTTAACAAACTTTCTAAAATTGGAGGTAAAACCATTAAGACAAATAAATTTTATGCAAAGGTTTCTTAAAAGTAGTTTTTAATAAAAAAATCTTTTGAATCTTTTTATTATAGTTTGTATTAAACTTGTGTTAAAAATATGTGTAGCATATATTTTTAAAAATTTGACAATTTCTAATTAGACATAAAATAAATCTTTTTTTTTATGTCTGATTATAATTTTTTTCTTAACTGTTTTCTCTTACTTTTGTATTTCCTTGAGCTAAAGAACAACCTTAAAGTACAAAGGTTGATTTGTAACGCATACTTAACCTTTTTTTTTACTCTATATATACATATATATGCACATAAATAAACATACATATATATGTATGTATATATACATACATATGCTTATATGAATATAATATATATATATATATATATATATATATATATATATATATATATATATATATATATATATATATATATATATATATATATATATATATATGTATATATATATAATAATGGTGCAATTTAAAGTTTTTTCTTTTATTTATAAAAATGTACTTGATAAAAATAAATAAAGTTGAACATTTTGAATATTTATTGATTATTATGATAAATTATATAAAATATATATAAAGTATAAATATTTTGCAAAAGCATTTTTATTTGCAATAACTGCTTCAGTGCATTGTGGCATGCTTGCAATTTATTTTTTATAGTTTCTGTCAACTCTGGGTTATTATGCTAGATCTTAATAATCTCTTTCATAAGATCTTGCTTATTAGTAAGATTTTTTTTTTCCAATCTCTTGCTTTACTATTTCCCAAATGTTTTCTATGGGGTTAAGATTATGCGAGTTGTCTGGCTATAGCAATACATCAACTAAGCCATAACAGTTTTTATTGTGTGGCAAGTTGCACCATCTTGCGTAAATATAAGATTTTTGACATTATTTTTAAATTTTTTTTGTCAATTTTTGGATGGACATCAATCCCTCTTCTTTTAGCCTTCTACAAATGGTCCGGTCTGACACAACAATTACAGCTTCATGGATAAGCTTAGTGGCTTTTTTTCTTTTTTCCAGGCAGATATTTCTGATTATACTGTCCGCTCTTGGTATTTTCTTGCGTTTAGAAGGTGGTCTCCTTTGCGGTTTGTGCAATTTTTCATTGAGAATAATTTGTATTTTGTAAAAGACATGTTCATCAATTTTTAATGTAACTATAATAATAATAACAATGTATAATGCAGGTTGTTAACCAATGGTTTATAATCAAATTTTAATATGGCTGGCGGTAAAAGTAAAGAGAAGTTTAAAGGAACAAATTAGGTATTTACTTGTAAGTTAAGTGTAAAATTATATATTTTTAAAAAATCACAGTTCGTTTTTTTAATGCTAATTTATTTTTTTAACTTTTTGATGTATTTGATGTAAATTACTTAGGCAATACCTTTTTTATAGAGAGCGTTTTGTCAATTAAAGTGACTGCTATAGTTGCCAAAATAAGAAAAGGAATAATGACTTTATTAAAATACGCACTCGACAGATCAAATGGTGGTGGTCGGCACGTAAAAGGCGATTCACCCGATGTATAATATTCATACTTTTTCCTAGTTGTTCTGGAACTATCGATAATAGTTAACTTTTTTTTTTTCAATCATTTTACTTTATTTGCA